GTTACATGAAGGGGAAAGAAGTACAGGAGAGTTGGCAGTATTTTAAAGAAGCCTTATTAAAGGCACAGGAAGAAACCATCCCGATGCGCAGCAAGAAAAGCAAATATGGTAGATGACCAGATTGGCTTACCAGGGAAATCCTTCGTGAGCTTAAACACAAAAAGGAAGCTTACAAAAAGTAGAAACTTGGGAGGATGAGTAGGGAGGAGTATAAATATATTCCTCGAGAATGCAGGGGAGTTATCAGGAAAGCGAAAGAGCAATTGGAATTGCAGCTAGCAAGGGATGTGGAGGGTAACAAGAAAGGTTTCTACAGACATGTTAGCAATAAGAGGGTGATCAGAGAGAGTGTGGGGCCCTTACTGTATGAGGGAGGTAACCTAGTGAAAGATGATGTGGAAAAAGCTGAAGTACTCAATGCTTTCTTTGCCTCTGTCTTCATGGACAAGGTCAGTTCCCAGACAAATGCAAAAGGCAATGCAGTATTGGAAGGAGGTGGTCCCCGCCAGACGCAGCGAGGGGAAAATGTCCCCATTGGCCTTCCATCTGAGAATAACAGAAAATACCCGAGGGAGCTGGCAAATGTCACTGTGGAGCCCTTGGCCATTATCTTTGAAAACTCATGGAGCTCGGGAGATATCCTGAATGATTGGAAAAAGGCAAATGTAGGGCCCATCTTTAAAAAAGGGAAGACAGACAAACCAGGGAACTACAGACCAGTCAGGCTTACCTCAGTCCCTGGAAAAATCATGAGAGTCCCTCATTAGCATATTTTCTGCTGAAAAAACTTGCTATAAAGACGAAGCCATAGGGTACATCTACACAGCAGCGTTACAAAGTGCATGTCTACACACAAGGGCTACGTCTAGACTGGCCCCTTCTTCAGAAGAGGCATGCTAATTTCTAACTTTGGAATAGGGAAATCCGCGGGGGATTTAAATATCCCCCGCGGGATTTAAATAAACATGGCCGCCGCTTTTTTTCCGGCTTGGGGAAAAGCCGGAAAAGAGCGTCCAGACTGGCGCGATCCTCCGGAATAAAGCCCTTTTCCGGAGGATCACTTAGTCCTACTTATTCAGAGTAGGAATAAGAGATCCTCCGGAAAAGGGCTTTATTCCGGAGGATCGCGCCAGTCTGGACGCTCTTTTCCGGCTTTTCCCCACGCCGGAAAAAAAGCGGCGGCCATGTTTATTTAAATCCCGCGGGGGATATTTAAATCCCCCGCGGATTTCCCTATTCCAAAATTAGAAATTAGCATGCCTCTTCCGAAGAAGGGGCCAGTCTAGACGTAGCCAAGCAGTTATTTCCAGCCGGAGGACTCCTTACTCTGACTCCTGTAACCCTCATTTTATGAGTATTAAAGGAAATTGGAGGAAAAGTGCTCTATTTCGAAATAAGTCCTGTGTAGACATGCCTGAATTCAAAATAAGCTATTTCAGCTTAAGCTACACAATTAGCATAGCTCAAGTTGCATAGCTTATTTTGAGATTAACCCTGCAGTGTAGATGCTCATAGTTCCCCCAGCCTCTACACATGAGGTCCTGTGTGTCTGCATTCTCTCTATGCTCCCCATTCCTCTTCCCTCACCCCAGCAAAGACTTAATGTGCTCCCTATTTTCCCCTCCTACAGCATTGTTCCACATTCCCCATGCAGGATTGCTGTGTGCCCTCCATGTCATTATCCTCCATTCGCCCCTCTAGGCCAGGGACTGTTTGTGTGCACCCCTCTTCCCCCCACTTCCAAATCATTTTTCTTTCTCTCTGAGTAATAAGTCATTCAGGGTGTCAACAGGTTTAAACTGTAGTGGGAATAGCAGCAGAGCTGAGATTAGCATATTGTTATGGCAGCAGGCTGCTATCAGCTGGTTCTTTGATCTATAGACACAGACAGTGGTTGGAGCTGCTTAATCTGCTAACCAGATGTGGGAGGATCTGTGCATCAGTCCCATTTTGTCTCCATTTGTCCATGCTGTGGAGTTTTGTTTTGTTTTTTTTCCATTCATAGCACTACTGTCCTACTCACTGATACCTGCAGTGGTCCCTCACATTTTGGAGTTGTTCAAATGCAGCATTCAAAAATTATTGCATTGCAGACAAGCATAGAAAATGCCACAACACTAAGGGCAAGATTTCACTTCACCTGGCTAACTGGGAAAATAAGTTGAATGTATGTTGGTTACAACTACCACATATGAGCTAAGCCCCACCTCAATTGATTTTTCTCGTCAATAGTCCACATTGCTCTTTATATTTGATCTCATTTGTTATGTTTCACAAATGAATTCAGTAGAGCACAGCAAAGAGATAAGGAAGCAACTGCAAATTGGCTGCTGTTGTGACCATTTGTTACGGATAGCATTGGAAGTGACTGGCAAGCATTCTGGACTGGATGTAATGTTAAGCAGCACCAGCAGAGGAGAAGCCCAAGCACAACAGGATGGATATGGCTGTTCACAACCCAAAGTTTGATTTGTAAAAAGTTTTCTTAAATTCAAAGAATGAAATGAACAAACAAAAGTATGATGCGACTCAATCCTAGTAAAGCCTTAAGAAAACCGTTTGTCATGAGGCAGCGCAGGCTGTATTGGAGGTGGTGGCTAGACCTAAGGAGAACCTACAACTTCAATAAAGAATCCCCATTGTATAACTAAATTTTTCCTTACTATGAGTGCCACAAGGATATATGCATCAGTCATTGCATTTTATACCAGGCAGATGATGGTTTGTAAAAGAATAACTAGACTATCATGTTCACTTACTCTGATGCTTTTATTAAATCTTTGAGAAAGAGGGTGAAAACTTCCACAACCACAAATCCCCAGACACATTTCAGTTGCTTTTTAGCAATCTTCTTTCTCTAGCACTCTTTACTGTGCACATAAGTATCAACAGAGAAAGCAGTATGACTGTTGTATAAAAGATTAATTACAACATTACCTAGTTAATATGGTCCTGGCAACTTTTATTTATTATAATCCCATGGTTGTTTGGCAAACTCTTTTGGAAAAAGATTGTGTCTTTGACTGCAATAAGAGATGTCATCTTAAATTCCTGATTGTTTATCTGGATATATTTTGAAGTTACGAAAAATACAAAAGATCTCCCACCATTATTAAAAACAGATAACATTGATATAAATATTGCTTTTCCCCCAATCATAGCAATAATAGCCCACAGGAAACACTGTTACAGTAAACGTAGATTCCTTTGCATAAAAGAGGTCAGAAAGCTCATCCGAGAAAAGCCAAGCATTAATCTTGAACATACAAATATACAAGACACAAATTCTGAAGTAATGAGTTATCCTGACAGGAACATTCTGCATAGATCACAAAATTGGCATTAAAAGGATTAGTGCATTTAAGAAAAATGTAGCAAAGGACAAACACACTTAAGATACTAGTACACGAGGATAAACAACTTCATAGTCACTCACTACAGGCTGAACCTCCCAAAATTGGGACTCCCTCATACAGCAACATCCGTGATCCAGCAGAACCAAGGATGTTCCTGGACCAGGCAGTCCTGGCTGGGAGCCCCAGTGGAAAGGAGCTGGGACTGGCACCGGAGCCCTGGTAGTGCAGCATGGGCCGCGGAAGCCCCAGTAGCAGGGATGGGGACATGGCAGCCGCAGAAGCCGCAGTAGCAGGGCAAGGGCCAGAGATGCGGCAGACACAGCAGGCCCAATAGCAGGGCTGGGGCTGGGGCAATCTGGGCTGCATGGACTACAACAGCCTGGCAGGGGGTGGCTGGAGCCAACAGCAGGAAGGGAAGGTGTTCGGGGGAGATGGTAGGAAAGGACCTTCTCTGGTCCAGCAAATTCCCTCATTCGGGACCAGTCAGGTCCAGAGAATGCTGGACCAGAGAGGTCCAGCCAGGATTACTGAATGTTCTTAGATCAGGCACTTCTATGTTTTACTGCTTCAAGTACTTCGCTGTACATTGGGAAACAAATTGCCTAGAAAGAACCACAATACTGCTCTTTATAAGCTTGAAAACTTCTCTTTCACCAACAGCAGTTTGTCCAATAAAAGATTACCCCACCCCCCTTGACTGTCTAATAACCTAGGACCAACATGGCCAAAACATTGCAAACAACAATGTTTAAAAGCAGATGATGCACTAACGTGCTCCTCCTAGCTGTGGCCATTCATCTGACAAGTGTATCATGTCTGAGGCCCAGTATTTTTTTTTCCAATCTAGTTGAGGCATGTTATGGCTTTGACCATCAGTGTCATTTTTCAGTCATATTCCCCTTCCTGGAGGAGTTGCCAAAAACAAGACTGAGTATGGACCTGATTACAGGGCCTGCCTGTTTTTTTTTTCAGGAGACCTTTAAGAAGTGTTCTTCTCAATAGCTAGAGTCTATAGAGTAACCAGAGCCATTGAGTTAAGAGGACATTGACCTAGTAGAGTATGTCAAAGTGCAGGAGAATGATTGAATACTAGGGCCATCTCTACACTAGGAGATTATTTTGAATTTACTGAGTTCGACTTCTGAGCATTCAATTTTACAAATTCAAAGTTCTGTGTCCTCACTACAGGGAAGAATTGAATGTAGGCTGAGGCAAGCTCTATCAATGTGGATGCGCTACCTCAGACTCCCATGAAGCACTCTGGGGAGCCAAGGCAGGTCTTCTGGAGGATAATTAGTTTGAATTAGTGATACTAAAGCATTCACACTAACGTTTGGACTTACAAGTTCAGGAATAGCGTTATTTCTCATGAAAAGCAGGACTACAGAGTTCAAAATCCATGGCTCTTTATTCCGGAATAACAGGATTGATAGTGTGGATGCATCGCTTACAAAAATCAACCTTGGAGGGCTAATATTAGACTAAGTTCGTAGTGTAGATCAGACCTAGAAGTTAACAAGGTTATCCATGTGCTGGAGATCCTTTATTGTCTCTGTCTCCTAGGTGATAATATCACAGACTTATGTTTGTTGGTTTGTCTTGCAGTGGTCTTCAACAGAACCGTCTCTCAATTGTTTTCTCTTAATTTGAGGTTTGTTTCCAAGCAGCTGCCATGACAAAACTGATTTGCAAAGTAATATTGTATATGGGCACAGTGGGCTCTTCTTATCTTTAAATCTGAGTGGACACCGCTCACCTCTCTATGCTCCAATGTGGCCTTATGACTGCAGAGACATTCCTCTCAGTCAACATTGGGGATACCTGCATTATTATATTTGACTCACACTTTCCCTCCCTGGTGGCACACAACCAACTTTGTTTCCTTCTCATGTTTCCTACAAATGCTCTAAGGTAGAAAAACTCCATTCTGAAGAATCCTTCCTTCATCGAGTCTCTGGAAGCCTTTGTCCTCTTGACCAGTTGATCAACTAGTCCACTCTTCTTGCAACTGGATGACAGCTTGGGGTTGATGGGCTTTGACTGTGCAAAAAGGATCCGGAATTCCATGTCAAAGTGTGTGACTACTGGGCCCGACAGAATCAAGATGTTACTGCTACTTAGTTTCCCATCAGTCCATGTGAAACTTAAGAATAAGAAAAATTCTCATTGATGTTAATTTGTTAAAATAAACAATACACCCATACAAAGGGTGAAACAGTGCCAATATATGTTTTCTTTCAATACAAGAAACTAGATTGTTTTTGTACCACAGATACTTTGCAACATAATTTTTAGGTCAAACATCACATACGATCAACAGCTCACATTAAAAAAAAACAGTTTTATACTATTACTCTTTGCTGAACAATCCAAACAAGTCTTAGGAGACAAGGACATGAAAAGAAATAGGGTACTTGCCTGTAAGAACCTGTTGTAACTCTTATGCCATCAACCAAGAGAAACTTTTCTTGGACCTTCCCCACAATTTTGACTCCTGACCTTGTGCAATAAGTGTTTCCCGATATAGTTCGAACTCTCATCAACTGTTTTTAAAAGAAAAAAAATCATGTAAGTCCTCACATATCAAAATAAAATGATCCTGCCTAAGAAGGAAACATACAACATGAATGATAAAATAAGAGCCCGAAGACCACTGTTGAGCAGGATTCTGCTGACTGGTGGAAGATTCTTTCTACTTAGGAGCCAAATGACCATTCTAAGGGTTCTTGCTGGTTCAGGGAACAAAACGTTAAGTCAAAATTGGAACCAGAATTTAGTCTCCCTCTTTGTAAAGCAGTGAGGCTCAATATTGTTGGACTAACAAGTCCACTCAATGTTTTTGTCCTTAAGGTAAGAAAAAAACGTACTAAACTGAAATGAGACATTTTCTATGTCCTTACACAAGGGTGACTAAAATATGGTGGATCATGTGTTTACTCAGTATGAACAGATTTCTTAGAAGAAAAAGAGAAAAGAACTTTAATCATCTGGGACAGAAACATTATTAAGGCACTCAATTAAGAAGATTCTCAATAGCAAGCAAAGTAAATTTACTTCTATGGGATGGCAAGAAAATTAAGGTTCAACCTACAGATATTTAGGTAGAAAAAAAAAGAAGTGTCTGCAGTGCTTTCAGCAATCTCATGAATCCCTTCAATACAATACATGGGTGTTAGTGCATCTCTAAAGACGTGCAGTTAATACCTTGTTTTCCAAGATCGGTTAAAATATAAAAAGAGCAAGAGCTACATAAATAATATTTATTCCAACCATAACATCTGAGTTTTCAAAAGAGCCAATAATCAATTGTTTATTGCCCGAAGTATTGCAGTGCCTACCTTCTCCTGCTCAAGATCAACTTCTAGATTTCTGCACATTTTCAAAAAGTGGGGAAATGAAGCACGATCTAAAAGGATGTATACACTAACTTTACGCTTCCCACAAGCTTCCAGGAGATCTTTGAAGATATCATTGTCTGTGAAAGTATCCATAACCACAGCGATAACCTGAAATAATGTACAGAAGAAAATATTAATTCAATAAAACCTTGGGGACCTACATCATATTTCTCTCAGCATTCCAGCAGAGATTTAGAAAGGCCAGATGGGTCTATGAATCGATTTAGCTTCAAAATTAAGTAGTCCCCTTGTTGATTTCCTTTTATATCATATTCTCTGTACATGTTTCCAGTTTCCTTGCTATTTTTGTAAGTATTATTTTACTGTGGTATAGTCAACCAGTTATATCATTCTTAGCAACATTCCACAAGTGTCTGACAACTAATGGATAATGTGAGTATGCAGTGTTCTATCTATGTCAATCCCAAGCTATTAGAGAGACAAAGTGGATAGAGAAATATCTTTTATTGGACTGATTTCTATTGGCGAGTGACAAACTTGTCTCTCACCAACAGCAGTTTGTTCAATAACAGGATAATTTAAGTAAGATATAAAAAAGTAGAGGGGAAAAAAATCTCTAGCTGAATCAGAGCCACATGTGCAGGCTCTGTAGTGGAAAGATTTGTGTATTTCTCTGCATCAAGTTGAGAAAGGACACCATGATACTGGGGGATGGAAGGGTAAGGGAATGAGTTCAGGTTAAGCTAACAGCACTTCAAGGGGAAAATACATGGGTACTGCAGGCATACTATAACTCCATATTAGATATAGCACACCTAAGGAACATGGGAACCCATCATAAGCAATCATAGGATGATGGAAGCCTGCTTTTTAGAGTATTCATCCTGGTTTAGAATTAAATAAGTGACAATCTACTATATATTTGAGAGAGTTTGTGCATCTTTCTCTCCATAGGGTACATCTACACTGCAGCACTATTTTGGGATACTTCTGGTATCCCGAAATAGGTATTCCAGCTCTTTTAAAAAAGCATTTTGAAATGTTCCCGGCCGGGCACCATTTTTTGAAATTTACAAGCCCGGACTAACTGCCCGCGTCTACACACGGCAGGGAAATGGGTGTTCAAAATAAAGCCCTATTTCGAACTACCTGTCAAACCTCATTGCATAGGAGCACTAGCGGGCAGTTAGACCGGGCTTGTAAATTTCAAAAAATGGCGCCCGGCCTGGAACATGCAAATCAAGCGTGGGATATTTAAATCCCGGGCTTGATTTGCAATTCCTAATGGCTACATTTGCAGCCCTAGTTCGAATTAGGCTGCAGGTGTAGACATACCCTATGGCTCCTGAGCCAAATACGTCACTTTTGCAGCTCCAGATCAGTCCCCCTCTCTTCCCCTGCAGCAGGGAGCTAGCACTGGTGCTCCAGCCTTGCCCCTTCCATGCCCAGACCCTCACACTCGCAGCCCTCTCACTCATTGCCCTGTCAAGACCCCGCACCCCCAACCTTCTCACTCACTACCCTGCTGAGACCCCACACTCCCAGCCCACTCACTCACCACCCTGCTGAGACCCCAGACCCCCAGTCCTGCTCCTACACTGCCCTGCTGAGACCCCACACCCTGCCCTCTCACTCACCTCCTCCACTGACACCCTGCACCCTCAACTCCATCACTCATACCCTCCAAAATAAAACCCCACACCTCCACCCCCCCTCACACACACCTTCTGCTGAGATCCCACACTCCCAGCCTGCTCCTTCACCCTCCCCTCTGGCCAGATACCTACCCTCACTCTGCTCCTACACCTCCCTCCTAGCTAAATACTGCCTCCAGCCTGCTCCTGCACTCTCCCTTGCTCCTGCACCCTCCCCACCCCCAGCAAGACTCCCTACTCCCAGCCTGCTCCTGCACCTTAACTCCCACCCAGATCCTGCACTCCCATCCCACTCACTGGCAGCCCTGTCCCACACATTTAACCCCTCATTTTTGGCCCCACCTCAGAGCCTAGTGAGGCCCACAAAACCCACTAACCCCAGAAGAGTTAATCTGGCCTGAAGCCTTGAACCTCAGTACCTCCCTGCCCCTCCCCACACCATAGGCTAGACACCAGGGGAGTGAGGTGTTTCAGTTGGGGGCCGCTGTGAAGAGGGACTACATCTCTTCAGTTCATAGGGTGCAAGCAACGTAGTGCAATAGCTGAAGGCAGGTATGCAGTTTGGGAGAGATATTGTTGGTTGCCAGTCCTGTCTGCCCATGCATACGTTACTCAGAAAAGGGAATCTTAATATACATTCAAACTCAAGTACTGAATCATTACTTATCAGGGAACACTGACTCCACTTGTCATTTGCTCAACAGCTGCTTGCTCACTGCTTAATTATATTTCTATCCTGTGCTCCCTCTTTTGCACTGCATGACATCACCCTCAAGGTTGAGCCACACAGGTCTGAAGGTTCATTCATTTCCCCTGCCACATGACCCATCAGGGCAGGCCGAGACCACAGAGTGCTCTTCAATGCCAGATGAACGGGCCAGTAAAAAATGTTTCCAAGTCAGTTTCTTAAGGTAGCTGTTTCCCTACCAGCCTCCTATCACTGAATAGTTGACCTTTGATACAATTCAGCCACTTATAAACTGATTATGGGAATGGGGAATAAATATCCAGTCCAAAACAGAACTTTGCTAGATGGTTAATTCTTAGCCTGAAGTTTCTTACACTGATGTACCTAAGCTGGAGATGCAACATATTTGAATAACAGGCAGCCACAAAACACCATGCCCCCTCCTCTCTGGCTTGTAGTTATTCACACACACACACACGGACCTGCAGCCTGTCCCCTGCCCCAGATCACTATCCCCTCATGCCCTAGGTCACATCCCAAACCCCTGTATCCCAGTCCCCTGCTCTAGGTCACAACCTAAACCCCTGCACCCTAGATCACAACCCTTTCTTGTCCTAGGTCACAAGCCAATCCCCTGCACCCCAGTCCAGCACCCCAGGTCATAATCATCTCCTTCCTCCCAGACCCCACACTCCTTCCTACACCCCAATCTCTTACTCCAAGCTCCCTTCTGCACCCTACCTCCAGCCCAGACCCTGTACTTCCTCCATTAATATCATGGAAGAGTGAGGCCTTGACCACTTTCCAAATTCTTGGAGTGGCCCCCTATGAAAAATTATTGTCCACCCGTGTTATAGGCATGTTTGGTATGATCACACCTAGCCTAACTGCCAGCTCCCAAGTCAGCTCACCCAGACTGAGTGTCTACAACCCCTTTATAAGCACATCCCAGACCAGCACTTGTTCCGCATGTAGCAGTATGCTGCCCAAGGAGGACTAGTTTCTCAGGTATGAGAGAGTCTATCAAGGAGGAGACAGGATCTCTGCCCAGAGGCACTTGTCCCTTTTCCTTCAGTCTTCTGCAGAGTTGTTGCAGTGGCCTGTCCACACAGCAAGGCTCAGGACAACCAGGAATGTTATTACAAAAGGGTTGTGGGTTTTGCAACACTAACAAAAATAGCGGTTTAAAAAAAATCAATAAAGAATCATGCAAAATGGCAGGTTTCTGAATTTCATTCAAGCTGTCGGGACCCCAGGAGTCAGGGGCACCACTTGGGGAGGCTAGGAGGCTACTGCTCCCCCTCCCAAGTTTGAACCTCTGGATTTCATGCTTGGGGGCTGCTTACAGCTCATGCCCCAACTCCAGAAGCAGTTCTCAAAAGCAACAATTCAGGCTGCTTGCAGGTTTGCCTTTGGGGCAGGGAAACAAAAAACTATGTAGCACTTTAAAGACTAACAAGATGGTTTATTAGGTGATGAGCTTTCCTGGGCCAGACCCACTTCCTCAGATCAAATAGTGGAAGAAAATTGAGTTAGTTACAAAAAGAGGGAGGGGCAGGGTGATTAAGAATAACAAAAGGCAAATTATCCAGGTAACTGCAGGATGGTTAGATCATCATGAAAACATTGCTGGGTACTCCACTTAAAAGACAGGGGGAATGTGTTGTGCTGCAGGGATCTGCACTGACATCACTACTGTTAAACTTCTCATAAATGTTCTTGGAAAAGGGGGCAAACAGCAACTACTCCAAAGCTGGCTGTAAAGAGTTACAAAGGGATCTCACAAAGCTGGGTGATTGGGCAACACAAAGGCAGATGCACTTCAGTGTGGAGAAGTGCGAAGTAACGTACATGGGAAATATAATCCTAACTAGAGATACAAAAATGATGGGGTCTAAAATAGCTAAAATACTTGTCAGAATACACCAGTGTTAGAGCTGAGTGGGTCTAATATTTATTTCCTTTTCTTTCCTTTACACAGGAGTTAGATCCAGTGCTCCTGCCAGCCCCCCAAAAGCAAAGTTTCCCAGGGCCCTGGTAGCCTTGGCACAGAGATGACAGGGGAGGGAGGGCGGAAGGAATTGGTTTCCCTCCTCCCGCATTTGCTGCGTGGCTGGCATGGGACCCAGTGTTAGAGCTGAGTGGGTCTAATATTTATTTCCTTTTCTTTCCTTTACACAGGAGTTAGATCCAGTGCTCCTGCCAGCCCCCCAAAAGCAAAGTTTCCCAGGGCCCTGGTAGCCTTGGCACAGAGATGACAGGGGAGGGAGGGCGGAAGGAATTGGTTTCCCTCCTCCCGCATTTGCTGCGTGGCTGGCATGGGACGTGCTCAGTGACACCGCTGCAGCCCTGTCCTCACTCCCGCCCCACCGCGGCCGGCACAGGTCGGCCCCCCCCATCTGAAGTGGCGCCCCTGCCGG